GTGAGCTAAACCGCGTCACCTTGGTAATACAATTTTCTCATATGTATTTGTGTCGCGGTTTACCTCCACGGCGAATCTAATTTCTGCTGTATCGCGTAACCACGTTTATTTGTTTCGGATGATAGACATCGATTTTTCTCGTGATTAATCGACAAGATCTGCCGCTATAAATTGTACGTAAGATAATGCGCGTGTCGTAGTATCAATTTAGAATCGCAAAACATCGATTCGGAACTGCCAATATTTACTTAACGTATTTAATAGCCATAAATTCATAACGTTAAGACCGGAGCACAGATCTTTGGACGATGCATAATACATAAGGCACAAGAAAATCAACCAATTGGAGTCTTTTATTTCATGGAAAAGAAAAAATGAAGGACTTTGATTGGTTCATTTTCTTATGCATTATGCGTTATGCGTTATGCAAGACTCTGTGTTCCCGTCTTTATGGACTGCATTTTTAGATATCAAAGAAGCAATGGCAACCCAATCCTTGAGTTAACATTTTGTTATATCTAATTTCCATGTGTGTCAAAATATAAATTATTTCATTTCTGTAGTTATTTTTAAACTACAGAAAAGAAAATAATCCACATTAACGTATACTTAGTAAATAGGAAACTAAATTTGAGTAAAATAAATCAAATTGAATACATTCTCTTGAATTAAATTGTTTAACTTCAATGTTTGAATTAAATTGACATATTGATTAAGAGCAATGGCGATCTATAAAAATGATTAAAAATAAGGTATAATTTGACATTTATTATTTTTTGAATTTAATAATGCAAAACGAATTTTTGGGAATCACTGTACCAGAGCATCATATTTCCTTTAAAACGTTCAGCAACTTAACTTTCGCTCACAGCTTCTTCCTGCATTAGGTCACTTTGTGGCATCATTTCAAACGTGGCCTTCTACGAATCGGCCCATTGACCTGTTCGGCAAATTTCAGGGTTACTAGTAATGACATGAGGGACCTAAGGTTAGCATCGCCGAGCGGTCATTCCACTCAGCGATTGATCAGCCCGATCGGACATTTGCGAGTCACTTCGTTAAACGACCATCGTGTTTCCAGTCCCAGCGACAGTGAGATACGCGTGCACAGTCCAAGTAAGTTTTCCTTTGTACTATATTTATTAATCTACCTGATACTTTCCACGGTTTTCACGGTAACTTTTCGATGAGCCGACCCATGAATCGAGCAGGTGGCGAAGCGATTAATTAGCGACGGCTAACTCCGGAGAATCCGGGTTTATGAAAGAACTCAAACTTTTGCCTCGAACTCCAAGTTGATTAAGGCGCAATTAATATATTGTTGGTCGTAATATACGAATCGCTATCGCGACGGTAAGTTTGACAGGAAAAAAAATTACGACGTCGACCGGGTTGTCTCCGAGCGAGAGAGTTACGCCCATATCGACTTTTCTTCTTTTCGTAGCAAAGCACACAAGAGTGCAAACGCTAATTAATGACGCTGACGAAGACAATGCCAAAGGTAACAACGTTCACGTTGTTCATAAAATGATCCTTCAACGTACCGGACACATTGCACTATGCGGAATTAATGGCTCGCTAAGCGCGCTAATTAATCAGATTTTTTTCAAAGTATTCCCGATAAATTTTCGTAAAACTTCGCGTAAAATTATTATCTCAATTTCGTGATACAAATTTTGCGGTACGCAATGGAGGAACATCTTGATATTGCAAAAGATTTTTTTGTTCGAAAAAAATAGTATTCTATTTGAAAATATAAACACAAATTAGTCTCTTTTGTCTTATTTTTTGTTATGCAAAAAATATATATTAATTTATTAAACATTACAATTTTTTCAGAACGGACGTTTCGATCATCCTCAACGATAATAATAAAACTTGTTTTATATTCAAATAGTAGTCAAGTATTTTATATCATTTCATAGCATTGAATTCGTAAAATTGTGAAATTGGTTAAATTAATCTGGCCTCCAATTGCCATGAGCGTAAAACTAGTCTGAATTATGAAATACAATTAATAAAATCTGCAGTCACACATAATGTATGAAAGACAAAAGTATAAAAATGTGAAACGAGTTGCACTAATATCAGAGATATAATCGAACTTTTGTTATTATCTACATCATCGCTGAAAATATCCCGAAATATGTTAAAACGTCCTCTCCGAAGAAATTGTAATGTTCGATAAATGAACATAATTAACATAATAATAAAAGATATCTAATAAAATAATTGCGCTCCAAGTATCGTGCCGAACTCTCATTGTCTAAATTATTGTTATTTTTAATATCAAGAATCCATTAATGTATATTACATTTTATTATAAAATATAGTATATGCATAAATATTATATTATAATCTACGTAATATATCACTGCAGCAAATCTCTATCTCTAATATTCGAAGCTGGTTTCTAACCCGGCTCGTCTGGAACGTTTGGTTCGTGCGAACTTACGAATGATGAACAGAGCTTCGCTCGGCGGATGAGCGATTAATACCCGCGAGATTAAGCGGCGATTTAACGTCTGCTCTGAATCGCGAGATTGCCGAACCGCCTGAAAAGCGCATAAATTTAGGTCGAGAATTTCAGCGGGCGCCCGGGGTTAATTACCCGAAGATCCGTAGCAGTGGTGTCCTGGTAAGGTTTGTGTGCCACCTATCTAATGCACAACGTGGAATAATGGAAATCCCGTGTGTGCCTCCGTACGCCCTGTCTAACTACGCAAAGGTACGCATGATCGATATCGAATCATCCAACCACGGAGGAACATACGAATTGGGGCGGCTTTAATGGAGAATCAATCATAAGAGAAATCATAATTACACTATCCATTATTCCCTTTTAATTAAAAAAAATTGTAAGTTTGTAACGACGAGCATTTTGAAGACGAATAAGTGATACGATTTCAGCCAATTCCCTTTCTTTCCCTTGGCCGCGTTTGGAGAATCGAATTTGATTGATCGAATCTGATGCTAAGAAATTGGAAAAAACATTGTAATTTTTTTTTAAACGATGCTCCTGGATGATATCTCCTAGCAAATATCTTCTTCAAAAAAGAATAGAGGAAACACCGCGATCTAAATACCACGGTCCACCAAGAATTTTCTTTGTGCAATCCGATTGTATCTGTACAGGTACAATAGCTGCGCAATTTTCTGCGTTAGACAGAAGTCCATGCTTCTCCATTTTACGACTCGTCTAACGGTCGCAGCTGCGGAACATTTCTGTAGGCATTTGAATATCCTATACAAGGCGTCCCAGATCCATTATCGTTCAGTCCAGCCACAGATTGTCGAGTCAGAACAAATATGCTAATGTCTCAATATCCATATATTTTTGAAAAGATATTTTTGAAATTTAAAAAACGAATGAAACTGAATTTATGATGAAGCAAAAAAAAATGTATAATTTAATCGCTGAAATATAATGTAAAAAAATCGTTAATTTATTAAATTCTTGCTAGAAAGAAAGAATTCTAAGATTCCTCAGAGAAATTCTGTGGCAATCTGTGGCTGAAAATAATGCCTGCGACATCCTGTAATGCAATATCGTAACGAAAGGCAGTAGCTCCGACAGTTCCGGCGCTTTTAAACAGTTAAGGCGCAAATACAAACGACTGCCATTTACGTGATTAAAGAGAAAGTCAATCTGCTCGGTCGTTATTACAATTTTTTTCGCTATTCCGTTGAGTCTGAGACTGCAAGCCAAAGCAAGGGAGGGAGAACAAAGAAAAAAAAAAATCTTCCAGAATATCAGTCGATTTCAATATTTCCGGTTTCACAGATCCTTTCGCTCGTTACGACACGCTCAGAACTACGCGACTTCCTCTTCCAGCGGCTTTCTCCTGCGTAACTTATCTTCCTTTCTGCTCGCAGGCGAGAGAAAAATGATGAGCCCGATTGGCAGGGAGGTCGACCGCGGCGGAGGCACGATGACGGGTCCAAGACAAGGCCAGCAGCGATCACGCGCGGATTGCAGCGAGCTGCTGCATAAAAGGGTAAGCAAACGCGACGGGCAAGTCGCCTTAATACCTCGGTGCGAAAGAGCACCCCGTCTAGAATAGAGCTCTATTTATAAAAGAGTAACGTAATCATTTCATCTGAGCCGAATGCTCAGCACAACTTTCCTGTTGGCTATTTCGACCGCCATTTTTAACTTGATGGTCTAACATCCAACAGTAGCTTAATAATTCTTTAATATGATATGTAATTGCTTTCCAGCAAGCGACACAGTGTGACACTGTGATCATGTCATTTTCGTTTAACATTAGTATAAAGAACAAACAAGGATGTAATGATTCACTGTGTTACACTGTATCATCTCTTACTGGAAAACACCCATAATTATTAGGATAAACGTGGCAGACCTTTACATTATTCTTTTACGTATAGAGCTCTAGTCTTAGTGACCCTCCAATAAGAGTCTGGACTCGAGTTGCAATTTTGTACGCAGAGTGGTAGTTTTAACAAAAATCTGCGAGAGAGAAGGACGTATATTTGCTACTTTTTTCCCTTTTTCTCTTTTCTGTTCTTTTTTTTCCTAACTATTTCTCTCTCTCTCTCTCTCAGGAATTGTTAAAACAAGACGGAAACAAATCAAAAGTGGCTTTCTCACGTCCAGACTTTTATTAGACGGTCTCTAGTCCTGTCGATCCCGATTGGCATGGCAGAGCATGATGGATGGAGAGAGGAAATTCGCGCGTCCATTCGCGGCATCGATCGTGCAACGGTCGCGCGCGTGAATTAACCATGCCGTCGTCGCGGTGGTCAGTCACCGCAAACGGGAAATTTATGGCCGGGGAACGATTGCGAACGCGCACGCTTCGTAAAAGTGTCACCTGTATCACGCACCAAGTCTCGCCGATGGCTGACATCCGACGGCGATTCGGTTCGGTTCGGTTCCGCGGTGAAGTCTAACATTCTCGCAAATTGCTTGTGGTTTGTTTACGAGCGTACAGCTTACTCTCCCGCTAATCCTCCAGCTCGTAAAAATAAATTACGTTTACGTGTAGCACGGTAGCGCGTCTACGACGTGAGTTTATTGTCCATATAAAAAGGCGACGAGCTTGAAAACCCCGATTTATATAATATTGGTGGATCGAATTATCGCGCCAGGATCAAATTACCGGAAACAAAATGGCGAATTCTCCCGCGAACGTTGCACGATCGACGGTTTGTCGTTTTGCTGCTTTTATCTATAACTGTCTCTTTGTCTCTTGTCATGCAAACACACGCTATCCGTTTTATTGACGCGGCATAGCCTGCATATCATCATCGCAGCATGTAAATTCCATTAGCTCAATTAATTAAAATGTTGCCCCCCGAGAGAGAGAGAGAGAGAGAGAGAGAGAGAGAGAGAGTCTCTCATCTTCGCACGTGATGCATCGCGTTGTAAACGAGATTGATAATATTTGCGCTTATGGTATCGTGCGCAATAAACGCGAGGCGAATCATTTTCATCGGCGCTTTCGACTTTTCCAAGCGAAAAACAATTCTGATGAAGTTATCGCTGATGAATTTCTCATTATTTACAAACAGTATCACATTGATTCATGTGATCCTGAACATGAAAGGTCATCATTGTTGTTCCATCGTTAAATGCATTAGGTCATGATCTTGTGATTAAAAATTAATAGGAAAAATGAGACTAGGTGTCGATCGAGAATTGCATTGGGATTCAGTGATTCGTAATGACAGTATTGGTAACGTTATATTTTTGTTACGTTTTTATCATATATAATATCTGTACTAAGAGAAAAATATTTATATCTGTATAATTGCGAGGTAAAATAATTATGGGTTAGGAGCTTCATTTTTATAATTATTACTGCTATATAATGTTAGTAATAATAACCATACATGTAGTTAAAACATGAAAAAGTTACACTATAAATTATAATTTGAAATATTAATATAGTAAATTATTAAGATGTAAATAATAAATAAATGAACATTTTTATTCAGTAAACGCATTATAATTATAGTGAATATAATTATTTTTTTAATTTTTTTCATTTACTATTTATGTGATAATAATAATAATTTAAAAATGTGTTAGAAAAACTAAACATTTTCAAGCAGTATGTGAAACCGTTCTTAATAGCATAATTAACTGTATTTGCCTGATTGAAATAACTGTAAATATATAGTTGCCCAAAAAAATGACTAAAAACTATAGTTAAATTATGGTAATTGCAACTATTTTTTATTTCTCAATGTTCACAACATAATAATACAACCTTTAAAGTATTTGCCTAAAAATATTAGACACTTATACTTTTTTCATTTACCTCGAAATCTTTTACCTGAATTGTTACTTATTAATTACCAGCATTATACATAAGCTTAAAATTAATTTATAACAAATGCCACAAGTTCATTTTTTAATTAAAACTTTAAATAATAATTAATAAGATACTTAAAATTTTAATATAACGGTATAATGATACCTACAGTATTATTAAGAGTTACAGAATCCCAGTACTGAGCAGAACTTCGAGAACTCTTTTGTTTCGCGATTGCATTAAAATAACGAAGAATCTAATGAATCTACGATTGTACTTAACATCTTTTTTCAAGTCGTTCCTTCAGTGCATAGCGTCATAAAATTCTAAGCGTGGCTTGAGGAGTTTTACAAGTTTGTGTTACAAATAATCCTGCTAGACAGCATTCTTCGACACTATTTCACGACTTGTTCCGCAACAACGAATACTTAGATTCAATCGAGAAACGGATTTTTCGCCCTGTGAACGACAAATTCGGACGAGAACCCATCGTTTTCTTAACTCGAGCTTATCTTAAACGCACGGTACACGAGAAGGCAAGAAAGTAACGACCCGAGTGTCGTCGTCCTGGCGCCATTACATACAATGGAGTGGCAAAGGGTGGCAAGAGGATCAGGACGAAAGGGGAGGGCGAGGGAAGGAGAGAGAAAGGAGAAGCGAAGGGAGCGACGGAGACGGCAGAAAAAAAGACAAACGAGAAACATGGGGTCCAGGGTCGATCCTGCATACGGTCAGCACCGGTCAGCAAGGGCACCGTGCCAAGGAACTGCAGACGGGTCTTAAGCTTCGTGCACAATGGATTTCGCCATCTGCGCATGATGGCACGGCATTCATCCTTCTACACAAATTCATCGTTCCTCACGACGAATCTTATCGTAGGAAAATAGCTCTGACATAATATGTTATTTATTACGGCAATGTAGGATTTGTGAAAAACCGTCTGTAAAATGGTAGCACTGCGTACAATGTGGTTGCGTCAGAGACTGGCGTAAATAAGCCATCAAGATTCTCCAAGTTTTACAAGAATAATTACTTAATTTCTCCTCTTCCAACAACACTTCAGATTAAAAGAATACACGGAAGGACAGTTGCTGAAATATCTAACAAATCCGAAAATAATTTCGTTAAAGCATCA